GAGTATAAATCTAAAAGCCAGCAATTATTGACCTACTCCAAAATTTAGTTCCAAATTCGAAAAATGAACTTTCATATTGCTTTCCTCTTTTATTGTCTTATTACATCTCTAATAATTACCTCCACTGCCTCTGCTTCCGGTGGTGGTAATGAGACCGATTACCAGGCGTTGCTGCATTTCAAGTCTATGATCACCAATGATCCACTAATCTCATGGAATGCTTCCTTCCATTTCTGTGATTGGAGTGGTGTTTCATGTGGGAGGCGGCATAGAAGAGTAACAGTTCTACTACTGGAGTCACAAGGACTACAAGGCTCATTGTCTCCTCATGTAGGGAACCTCAGCTTCCTTCGTTTCTTTTCTCTCTGGAACAACAGCTTTCAAGGAACCATCCCTCATGAAATCGGTCGTCTCTCCAGGCTAAAAGACCTCTCTCTTGACTACAACAAATTCAGTGGGGTCATTCCAACCAACTTGTCCCATTGTTCTAAACTTGAAAACCTTGGAATTGGTGATAACAAGCTAGTTGGAAGCATACCCAAAGAGATCAGTTTTCTCTCCAAACTTACTTTTTTTTATGCTAGTACAAACAAGTTAACAGGTGGGATCCCTCCTGTCTTGGGGAATATAACATCAATGAAACTGTTCTCTGCTTCTGAAAATTCGTTTGGAGGGAGCATTCCAAATACCTTAGGCCATTGGAAAAGCTTAACAAATTTTTACTGTGATGATTGTAACTTACATGGAACCATTCCTCATGAACTGGGTCGTCTCTCTAGGCTACGTTTCCTCTATCTTGGCTCTAACGAATTCAACGGAGTCATTCCAACTAACTTGTCCCGTTGTTCTAACCTTGAAGAGCTTGAACTTTCTAAGAACAAGCTAGTTGGAAGCATACCCAAAGAGTTCAGTTTCCTCTCCAAACTTACTTATCTTTCAGTTTATCATAATAACTTAACCGGTGGAATCCCGCCTGTTTTGGGGAATATAACATCAATGGAAGGGTTCATTGTTGCTGAAAATCCGTTGGGTGGGATCATTCCAGACACCTTAGGCCATTGGAAAAGCTTAACACAACTTTACCTTGGTGGTTGTAACTTGTATGGAACAATCCCTCATTCCATTTTTAACCTCTCACTCCTAGCTAATATTTCCTTGGCTGAGAATCAGCTTACTGGTAGTCTTCCCTCAGCCATGGGTGAAATGCTCCCTCGCCTTGAGTTCCTTCAGTTACGAAATAACCAACTGACCGGACCTCTTCCACCCTCGATATCTAACTGTTCGAAACTTAGGTTTCTTGAAGTGAACTACAACAATTTTAGTGGGAAGCTGAAAATTGACTTTGCAAAACTAAAAGATATATATTTTATATCCTTGGGTGATAACATCTATGGATCTGGAGAAGTGGATGATATGAAGTTTATTGATACTTTGAAGAACTGCAGCAGATTAAAAATTCTCTCTCTTAATAACTGCAAATTTCAAGGAGTGTTGCCCACATCAATTGGTAATCTTTCTGATCAAATAAGTATTCTAGCTTTAGATAGAAATGATTTTCATGGAAACCTCCCTTCAAGTATAGGTAATCTGGTTGGCTTGATCGGTTTGTCTTTAATAGAAAACCGATTTACAGGGAAAATCCCCTCCACCATTGGTAAGCTTCAAAACCTACAAGAAGCTTACCTATATAAGAACCAATTTTCAGGGCCCATTCCAGATGCCATCGGGAACTTATCAATGTTGACCAATCTTTGGTTAAATTCCAACAGATTGGAACGACATATTCCATCAAGTCTGGGAAATTGTCGTAATCTATTGGAGTTGCACCTTGATGACAATCAACTCAGCGGTGGAATACCTAGACAACTTCTTCAACTTTCATCTCTAACCATCATACTAAATCTTTCTCAAAACAATCTGTCGGGGTCCCTTCCAGTAGAGGTTGGTGAACTCAAGTTGTTGACTTCCTTGGATTTATCTGATAATAATTTATCAGGAAACATTCCTATTAGCATTGGTGGATGTACTAGCCTTTTATTCTTCTCCCTCAAAGGAAACACATTTCAAGGCATGGTGCCACCGTCATTAAGTTCCATGAAAGGAGTTTCGACCCTCGATCTTTCTCATAATAATCTATCGGGCCAATTTCCTCAATTCTTGCAACAGTTGACCTTATTAGAATATGTAAACCTTTCCTTTAATGACTTCGAGGGCAATGTACCGTTGGACGGAGTGTTTGCCAATGCAAGTGCATTCTCTGTTTTGGGGAATAGTAGGCTTTGTGGTGGCTTGTCTGAACTTGGGTTGCCCAAATGCAATATAGAGAGACATAAGAAAAGTTTTCCTTTGCTCGTAATAGTCATTTTGATTGCATCCACCCTTTTCAGCATATTATGTATTGTGTATGCTTCGTATAAGAAAAGGAAGAGCCAACTGATGTCTCAATCATTGAGGGATGAACGATTCATAAAAGTATCATACAGACAACTTCTCAAGGTAACCAATGGTTTCTCTGAAGCCAATTTGATTGGGGATGGTGGGTTCAGCTCTATTTACAAAGGAATTCTTGATAATTATGGCAGTAGATTTGTTGCAGTTAAAGTTCTACATCTTCAAAAGCCAGGTGCTCACGAAAGCTTTATAAAGGAGTGTGATGCCTGGCGAATTATTCGACACCGTAATTTATTGAAGATAATAACTTCTTGTTCAAGTGTTGACTATCTAGGCAATGACTTCAAAGCTTTGGTATATGAGTTCATGCCCAATGGGAGTTTACATAACTGGTTGCATTCAACTACAAGGAAATCCAGACTGAACCTTCTTCAAAGAATGCATATTCTCATAGATGTTGCATCTGCACTTGATTATCTTCATAATCACTGCCTACCAACCATTGTTCACTGTGACCTGAAGCCTAGCAACATTCTACTTGATGATGACATGGTTGCCCATGTTGGAGATTTTGGTTTAGCTCGATTTGTTGGAACAAATTCAAACCAAAACAACACAAGTGTCATTAGAGGAACAATAGGCTATGCTCCTCCAGGTAAAGTTCATATATTTTAAGATGTTTGTATTTATTTATAATGATATCCTTTTTTATTAATTGCTTATAAGTTGCAGAGTACGGTGTCCAGATTGAGATGACAAGTAGTGGGGATGTCTACAGTTTCGGAATATTATTGTTGGAGGTGATGACAGGGAAAAATCCAACAGACAGCATCTTTCGGGAAGGTCTTAACATTCATAAGTTTGCTTGCATGGCCTTGCCAGACCACGTAACCGATGTTATTGATGATGACCTTCTGAATTTTCTTCAAGAGGATCATGTTACTACGAAAGGTGCATTAGCAAATGCAAAGAATATAGTGGAATGTTTGGCTTCAATTGTCAAGATTGGGGTATCATGCTCCGTCGATTCCCCACCAAAAAGGATGAATATAAAAAATGTTGTCCATCATTTGCAACATGTTATGGATAAACTTCATAATATTAACATTATAGGAGTTAATTCCTAAATAAGCATGTGGTCTAGTATTTTGTGAATCTTGTAATATGATGGTATGAAATGTGAATTAAATGGAATAAATGTATTATTTTGAAAAAAAAAAATAGAAAATCCAAAATTTAGAGGTACATTTTGAAGTGTCAAATTGGGGGTTAAATTACAACTATTGGAAGTTGGAAAAAAAAATATATATATATATATATATATATATATATATATATATATATATATATATATATATATATATATATATATATATATATATATATATATTAGATTTAATTCTTTTTTTTAAAATATCGTTTGATATATATTAATCAAATAGATAATGGAATCGAGCATTACGGTAGAATAAAAAGAAAAATGTTTGATTGTCATAGGTTAATGGAATGGAGCATTCCTTACGGAATGTGATTCGTTCCTTTGGATTGATTTTCATTTCATGAGATCGAGGTGTTCTTTTTTCATTTCTTTTGGTAATGAAATGACTATATATATATATATATATATATATATATATATATATATATATATATATATATATATATATATATATATATATATATATATATATATATATATATATATAGAGAGAGAGAGAGAGAGAGAGAGAACCAAAAGATTTGTAAGAACTTGCAAACTCATAATCACCTCATTATTTTTCAACACTAAAAACATCAATCTTCTCCAAATGGTGCATCTAAGCCATATCTAGATTCTAAAAAAAAAAAAAAGATTTGACGGTTTTTTTGTATGACTGCTGATGAGTACAATACGGACTATTGATGAGCACAATCAGTAGTCAATATGACTGCCGTTGATTGTGCTGATCGGCACTCTGTACAATTGTTGATTGTGCATACATTCAAATTTCGAAAAAAAATTATCAAATCTGTTTTTGAGCCTAGATATGAGCTGGTTATGAGTTCGAAAGTTCTCAAAAATCTTTTGGTTCACACAATAACTCGGCCATATATATACATATATATATATATATATATATATATATATATATATATATATATATATATATATATATATATATATATATGAGGGATCATTTGAGAACCTATAGTTTCCTGAGAACTAAAAGTGGAACGTTAGATCAAAACTTTGAATGGCCTAGATCAAACATGGCATATTTGCAATTATTAACAATTTCAATGGTAACATTGGCTTTTTACAATAAATTACAAGGTTAGTTAAGGAATAAAAATTAAAATAACTAATAATTAATCAAAAAAATTTGAAAATGCAATTCTCTCTCTCTCTCTCTCTCTCTCTCTCATCGTCTTTCTCTCTCGCTTGTGTTCATCTTCATCCCAGATTTAGAGATGAAAGCGTCTAATCTTCTGCCATCCACACTCATTACTCTCCAGATCGTCAATGATGAATTGAAGAAAAAGTAGATCGTCAATGACCTAAACTATTCGGTGGTGGATCAACAGAGTACTCGTAGTTGCCCATTGACTCACCAAGTTGTTTTGATGTTTCATGCTTTATTGATTTCGTTGTGCCCTAAACCTGCAATTTTGTTGGATTGTTTTATTAAATTGGGTGAGAATTGAGTTGCAGTTTCAGATTTGGATATTGTGAAGGAAAAGTTCACGAAATTGCTTTTAGGAAAGGATATGTCTGGTGGAGGAAAGGGCGTTCCATCAGCTCGGGCTTTGTTAAATGCCATTACGAAACTAGCAGGTTCTACATATTCTGATTTTCATAATGTTATAAAATATTATGCAACGTGTGAGACTGAAAGTGGAGCTTCTATGAGTGGTGAAATTGATGATGATCAAGTTTTACTGTTATTGATTGAAAGTGTACGTTCATTTATGTTTTTTCATGTTCGTCCGCATATGACTGTTTATGTTTGCTAATCATCTTAATGAATGAGCACAAAAAATCCGATTTGTTCCTTTAATAGTCGGTGTCCGTTCGTTTAATAGTTGGTGTTTGTTCTTCTACTTAAGAAATTGATTAATTCAAATAAGGTACAACACATTTACACTCAGTAAAACATGTATATTTTTTTGGATGAATGAATTTCTTAAGTGGGAGTTGAGCAATGACTTAACGCGAAATAAATGAAATTGTTACATAACCAAACAATACCAAAGTTTTCATATTCACTCTTTTAGACTTGTATAACATAGTATGCGTTTGTTTACCTTAAAATTTCAAACCGAATAAACTAGTTTGGTATAATAAAAGGGTTTATCAATCCAATCCAATCCAATTCCAAGCATAATAAATAAACAAGATTAGGGTTTTAGCCCTAGTTGCTTCCTTGTTTTCCCAACAAACAAATCTTTAGATTTTAGTATACCAGGAACTCTCCCAATCGATGTCACACACCATACTTGCAACAAGGCCTCTCGTCTCCCCAATGACACAATTGTCGTTGGTGAGCCCGGAGTGTACTTTACCATATTGCCCCCATCACTTCCATTTATCAGCAACTCCAAATTTTTAGCAACCACCAAAGCATGCTTTTGTGCCAAATATCCTTGTTTAAGTTCCTAAAAATCAATCAAACATTGTCATTTCACAAACAACATTATATAATTGGCAAAAATGAGCCAAAGAAACATAGAAATATGATGAGACTTACTGCAACATCAGTGATATCTCCAAATGCAAAGATATTCTCAAACCCTTTGACCCTAAAGTTTTCATCAACCATTAATCTCCCACTATCATTCAAACTATCCTTGAGGCTTGTCTCTTTAAGCCATGATGAACCAATCGGATCACTTGTGCATTTAAAATAACAATCAGCCATGATAGTTTCACCTTCAGATGTTTTATAAGTTCCATCATCAGAGTTGGAAGTCAAATCAACAGATTGACCTAAAATTACCTCAACTTTCTTTAGAGTTAACCAATCAAGGACCTTTTTACTACCCTTTTCATCTATAAACTCCAGCAATCTTGAACCCTTGTGAACTAGTTTCACCTTTTTGGTGGGAAAATCAACAGCAATTTCAGTTGCAAGTTCCACACCAGTGGGTCCCCCTCCAATTATCAATATTGACTCGGAAGATTTGATCTTTCCGTTATCTCCAAACAAATATTGCATACATCTAAGTTCCCATGTGATCTTGTTACCTCTTGTTTTACAAACAAAGCAAAATAAGCAATTTGGAATGATATCAAAGTGTTGTAAAATTACATGTTTCATACTCCCTGAGCTTCTCAGGTTTTGTGACACATTTACTACCCATGTGACCTGTGGCAATTACAAGATAATCATATGAAATCAGGTGACCTTCTGTAGTTGACACTTCATTGTCATCAATTCCATTTGCGTCAGATGTGATAATACTTGCACCTTGAAGATATTCATGGTGATTAATCACAGATCTTTTTGCAAATGATGGTTCCACCATTGACCTCAACCTTGCCTATGTCACCTCAAAATACTCTTTCCTGGATTAAAAAAATGGAAATTGAATAGGAGCATAATACAGAATGAGGTAAAAAAGAAGGAATACATGATCCTACTGGTTATTCATATAGTCCTTCACTCCTTCATATGGAGTATAAGAGTAAACATTTGTTTTCAAAAGATAAACAAGTTAAACATATGATTATTCATCTCAAAGAAAAGGTCGCACAACTACATAAGGGTGTATATTGGTGTGGCCATATCTATTGAAGTCAAAGTTATACATCTTCAAAACCGAGGTGCTCACAAAAGCTTTATAGCAGAGTGTGAAGCATGGAGGAGTATTCGTCACCGGAATCTATTGAAGATAATAACTTCATGTTCAAGTGTTGATTTTCAAGGCAATGACTTCAAAGCTTTAGTATATGAGTTCATGCCGAATGGGAGCTTACATGATTGGTTGCATTCAAGTGTAAGTAAATCAAGATTGAACCTTCTTCAAAGAATAAATATCCTCATTGATATCGCATCTCCACTTGATTATCTTCGCAATCACTGTCTGCCAATGTTGGAGATTTTGGCTTAGCTCAATTTCCTGGAACAAATTCAAACCAAAAGAACACAAGTGGCATTAGGAGAACAATTGGATATGCACCTCCAGGTAAAATTCATGTATCCAAGATCCTCATATTTATTTATTGTATTTGCTTTTTATAAAGTAATTGCTTACAAGTTATAAGTTGCAGAGTATGGTGTCAGGAGTGAGATGACAAGTAGTGGGGATGTGTATAGTTTTGGAATATTATTATTGGATGTGATAACAGGAAAAAGTCCAACAAACAACATTTTACTGAAGGTCTTAACCTTCATAAGTTTGCGTGCATTGCCTTGCCACACTCTATAACCAATGTTATTGATGATGACCTTCTGAATAAGCTTCAAGAAAATGCTACTATTAAGCAATTTACATTAACAAATGCAAATAAGATAGAACAATGCCTTGCTTCAATTGTTAACATAGGAGTATCATGCTCCGTGGATTCCCCACAACGAATGAATATTGCAAATGTTGTCCATGAGTTGCAACATATTCTGGGTAAGCTTCAAAATATTTGATGTGTCGTGTTAGTAAACTTTTAGGTGATAACTGTGTAATACAGATGTATTTTTGTATATGTGAATCTTGTAAATTGATGGTATGAAATGTGAAATAAATGGAATATATGTCTACTTTGAAAATATTACGGGTTTTAATGAAAAGCTAAAGTTAAGAGGTAAAATTAGAGAACATAAACATCGGGGTCAAATTGAAAATCTTGGAAGTTTGAAAAACTTATAAACCCAATTATTTTAGGTTTAATCATTTTCTTTGTTAGTTTTTTACGGCGTAAATCACAAAGAAAGCAAAGATCGTATACTATAAATCTTACGAGAATCCAAGCACAAATTGAGTAAGTTATCAAAACTAAGAACCAATTATATATGAAGTTGTGTTAGGGTTTTGATACAATCTCATCCGTAGATCAGCATGTACATCAGTCAACCTAGAGGACTTGGTCTAGTTACGCACTTGAAGACTTAGTCTCATTTCAATTTCCAGTAGAAGTTAATTGCAGTAAAGTAGTATCCACGTTTAATTTCAGCATGCATATTTTCCTTCATTGTAGCTAGTCAGTAACTCCATGTTTTCTATAAATTGTAACCTGCATTTGATAAAAAGAGGAGAGAAAATCATTCTAAAGATTGTGTATTGTTCTTATTTTATCAGGAGATTAGTCATCTCGAATATTGGTGCTTTCATTCCCTCATCCTCATGCCTCCAAAACCACAGTTAGGATCCACTTCAGATACCTCTCATGTTGTCCTTCATGATCAGATGCAAACACTTATTCGTCTTTCCACAACCACAACTTCAAAAAGCTTCAAAACTCGAACAACTTGACAACATCCTCGTCAACAAAGAACATCAACCACCACCACCGCCACTTCCAAACCACCAACCACGCCCTCCAAAAAATTACTTTAACTAATTTCGATGGTTCCAACCCGTTAGATTGGATCTTTCAAGCTAACAACTATTTTGCATATTATAACATGCCTAATAATCAAAGGTTACCCTTGGCTGTTTTTTACTTCACATGTGAAGCCCTTAGCTGGTACAAACACCAAACCACCAATCAGTTACTTACCAATTGGACAAAATTCCGCAGATCTATGGAACTCCAGTTTGGACCATCCTCATATGAAAACCATCAAGCAAGCCTGTTCAAGCTAAGATAAACCTCCATAGTTGCAGCCTATCAAGCCGAGTTTGAAAAACTCAGTAATTGTTGTTGAAGGTCATCACTAGCCCAATAGAATCATGTTATTGTCTAGAAGAAGTTAGCATGTTCTAGAATGATTTGGAAGATTCTAGAACATTATGGAATACGATGGAGGAGTGTTGAAAGATGCCGGAAGATTCTAGAATACTCTAGAACGAGATGGAAGACCCTGGAAGGCTATGGAACATTCTAGAACACTATGGAAGACACAAGAATGTCTATACTTATCTAGGACATTATAGAACATTCTAGAAACATATAAAAGCTTGTAATAGATATAGAATATGGTAGATAGTTCTAGAATAGCCATGAATGTATGTAGATCTAGAAACTTCCTATAAGGAGGTGGAAACACTTATAAATAGGTGTGGAGCTCATTTGCTCCAAACAATCCAACATCCAAGTATCCAAGAAAGCCTCAAAGAGAGAAAAGTGTGTAGTAGTCTCACAAAGTGTAAGGTCTTCTTAAGTGTCTTAATAAAAGTCTTGTTGTTTCCCATACAAAGAGTCGTGTTTAACAATCGGGTATCAGAGCGAGGTTTCTTGACAGTGAGAACAAGTGATTCTCGTTGTATCGTGAGTAGTTTGTGACTCTGCAAGTTTAGTATCGAAACTAGCTTGTTTGGTATTACCGAGGTACTACCAACACGATGGGTGATCTCCAAGTCTTCGGAGGAATCAAGAAACTCAACAACAACAACTACAAAACGTGGGAAACATGTATGAAGTCCTACTTACAAGGACAAGATCTGTGGGAGGTCGTTGGTGGATGCGAAACTACGCCACCAGAGGAAGACGTTAATGGTGCTTTGCGCAAATGGAAAATCAAAGCAGGCAAAGCAATGTTTGCCTTGAAGACCACAATCTAAAAGGGAGATGTTGGAGCATATTCGGGATGAGAACACCCCGAAAGAAGCTTGGGACATGTTTGTGATGCTTTTCTCAAAGAAGAATGATACGAGACTACAACTTTTGGAGAACGAGCTATTATCAATCTCACAACGTGACATGACGATTGGTCAATATTTCCACAAGGTCAAGTCGATATGTCGGGAGATTACTGAACTAGATCCGCAATCCGTCATTGTAGAAGCTCAAATGAAGAGGATCATTATCCATGGACTGAGAGAAGCTTTGTTACTATTGTACAAGGATGGCCTGCTCAACCATCACTTGTAGAGTTTGAGAATTTGTTGTCCAGCCAAGAAGCTATGGCTAAGCAAATCGGAGGCATCACGCTGAAAAGTGAAGAAGAAGCACTCTACATAAGTAAAAGTCGAAGGAATTTCAAGCCACCTTCTAAAGAAGGATACAAAAATGCTGACAAAGGGAAGAGTCAGGAAGGAACCTCACAACCATGGAGATCTCAAAAGACCGACAATAAGAGTTCTCGGGGGAGGAGGTTCGAAGGCAACTGCAACAATTGTGGAAAATGGGGCCACATGTCCAAGGATTGTTGGTCAAAGAAAAAGTCTGTGGAAAGCAATGTAGTAACTTCCAAAAAGGAAGTAGATGATGAATGGGATGCTGAGGCACTATGTGCTATAGAAGAGAATAAGACTAAAAGAGGAAGGCTAATGTTCGTGGATGCCAGGGTAAATGGAGGATACACCAAGGCATTGGTAGATACAGGTGCATCCCATAATTTCCTTGTTGAAGATGAAGCTAAGAAGTTGGGCATCAAATACACCAAAATGCCAGGCCGGTTGAAAGTCGTCAACTCTTTATCCAAGCCTATCATTGGTGTTGCATATGGAGTACCTCTTAAGATAGCAGAATGGGAAGGCACCATAGACTTGACAGTGGTGCATATGGATGACTATTGTATGGTATTGGGAATGGATTTTTTAGAAAATGTACAACCCTGGTCATTTGAGAGAGACGATACCATGCATATCACCAAGGGTTCAATAATTCACATTGTACCCTTGAAGAGAAATAGGATTGGATCCCAAATCCTATCAACTATGCAACTCGACAAAGGTCTCAAGAAGAGTGAGGAAAAGTTTATGACAGCCTTGAAGGAGGAAATTGTTCCCTCAAAGATGGACATTCCGAAGGAGAAGAAGAACATAATGTCACTAGGGTTACATAAAAACTCGCATCTTAGACGAAAAGTGGAACATGTGATGGAGAAACCGGATAAGGCGAATAAGAAGAAAAACACATTAATTCGTAAGAGAAAAGTAAAATCTCTCAACCAAGCAACATCTAAACGAGATGATCAGATCAATAAGGGATCACGTCATAACATGTTAATATTATAGGAATTTTCCAGGGCTTGTAAAAGGGACACCCCACATGCTTACAAGTTCTCCAACGGGAGGCATAAGAAACTATATAAGAGATTTCAATGGGGTCACGGACAATATTATGGTGCAACAAAAGGCAACCACGAATGTCGTTGTCAACTATGGAAACAATATACGAAGCAACGACTGCAAAAACTAAGGAAAAACAAAACATGTGGAAGAGAAAAAGTTCTCAAGGAAGAAGTCAATATGAAACATATCAAGACTAATGACCAAGTAGCAAATGGAGTTCATAAAGGGTTAAGTACTAACAAATATGAGGGCTTTAATTATCAGCTCAACATGGTACAACGAATAGGGGCTAGTACTGAGGGGGAGTGTTGAAGGTCATCACTAGCCTAATAGAATCATGTTATTGTCTAGAAGAAGTTAGCATGTTCTAGAATGATTTGGAAGATTCTAGAACATTATGGAATACGATGGAGGAGTGTTGAAAGATGCCAGAAGATTCTAGAATACTCTAGAACGAGATGGAAGACCCTGGAAGGCTATGGAACATTCTAGAACACTATGGAAGACACAAGAACGTCTATACTTATCTAGGACATTATAGAACATTCTAGAAACATATAAAAGCTTGT